CGAGTTTATAAATATTTAATTAAAATTATCTGGGTGACTCACAAACCTTTTTAATCACACTTCATAACTCTTCATATAAAATACAAACGATTCCGTATAAAAACTTTTATTAATTTATCTATTTCGGCTAAATGCATGGTGTAAAAATAATTAATTAATTACGATTAAACGAATGACTCACAAACCTTTTCAATTGCACTTCAAAAGTCTTCATACGAAATACAAACGATTTCATATGGTAGATTCTTTCCCGGACATTCATTTCCGGTCAAATACATACGAATCAATCAATTTTCTTATGCTTACGCATTATGCATTGTGCAGAAGTGTGTGCTCCCCGCTTTACCCTTATGCTAAGGCTGAGTTTCCACTGAGCGCGTCACGCATCGCGTCGTCCGAGTTGAACCAATCAAAACATCCCATTTCGATCCCGTCACAAGAATGTAATGAAATGGGATGTTTTGATTGGTTAACTTGTGACGACGCAACGCGTGACGCGCTCAGTAAAAACTCAGCCTAAACTCTCACGGTCTTACATACAGGTCTGGAAACTCTAGTGGTGGGGGATGGTCGCCTTAGCGACGAAGAAAATAACTCGCTTTGTGACCGTAAGAGTCGCTGCCATCGGTCAGTGTATTATGTGGTAGGACAAGGACGGAAATAGTAATTAGTAAATTCAAAATCGTGAGTGTCAAATAGGCAATAATTGAAGTTTCAAATGAGGAAAGGAATAATAAATAACTTTGTATTAAGAATAAAACGTTGGAAATCTTTTTATTCGTTTCTTTATAAGGACAAATACTGACGATACTGAGGGAATAAAAATTCTGCGTGAAGCATATATAATACTGTGCCTTCCTAGTGTGTTTTAGATTGCTAAATGAACAATATAGACAACACGATTTTTGTTCCCCACTGTCTGTTGATGAATCGTTCTTCAAAGTGTTTTTCACACACGTAATGGGACGATTTTAATTTTATATTGCCCGGGATCGCTGCTTGCCACTTTTTAAATAGGTCTATTTTTTTTGGTACTTTAAACGTTGACCGTTTTACTTTTAAGGATTTATATCCCGTTTTACACTTCGGGACTACGCAAGAATTCGTCATATTTAAAAAAATTTAATTCATTATATGTCATTTTCAAAAATGCACTTGAATTAAGCGCAATTAAAAAATTGTTGTCACGTTACCATGGGTTACCATCTACACTTCGCGATGACAGCGATGCATAGTGACAACGCCGTGAAATAAATTCTTCCTTGCTAAAACGACCATCCCCCACCACCGAAATCGGTCTGAGTTTCCAGACCTGTATGTAAGACCGTGCTTAGCATTAATAGAGCCTGGTTCTGGAACGCAGCCCAAGGTTGCGTTCCAAAATTCACTCTAGTTAACTTTATGCTATAGTATACGTGACGTAAACTATAGATTTTAGTTACCCAGAGTGAATTTTGGAACGCAACCCAGAAGTCACGTATGCACTTATAGCATTTTAGTTAACTAGAGTGAATTTTGGAACGCAACCAGCAGAAGAAGACCGAATGCGAATAAAATATAACCTACAATGAAAGTATCTCAACCGTCTCAACTTAATTTTTAGAAGTCTATTATCGCGAATTATAAAAGAAAAATGGAATGCACTGAGGAAGATTGGTCTGTAGAATGTTCCGATGATGAGAAATATGAGGTGGATGAAAAGGTGAAATATCTAACTTATTTGACGTCAAGATTCAGTTAAATCATTATTATCTTGTATATAATTTTGAAAAAGATTTTTATCATATAATTTATTATACAATCTCATTGATTATATTTTGACAATTTGCTGATAAATATGTGTGTCTTAGCTTACATTTAAAACTTTACCATGACAAGTATCTTTATATTTGTCTGTTTGCATAGCATAAATGGAATATAAAGGCTGAAGACATAGTTTCATTGATTGAAGGTTTAGAAGTAAACAATTGTGTTCTGGAACTTGAATGGAAGTGTCCTGGCAGACGAGGACCTTCTCCTGTTCCTTCAAACAACCTACAACAAGAGCTCGAGTCTCCAGAATACAAGTCAGCATCGATTTTTAATTATCCTTATTCAATTTTTTATATTGATAATATTTTTACAGGACTGAAGAAAAGTCAGACTTTGATTTCATGGATGAGATGTCATCGCCGAGATTACCAGTTCGGAGAATCGGTGAAAGTACTCCAAAAGGTAGTGCCAAAAAAAAGATCGCTAGTTTTAATGGAGTAATATCTACAATGTTAAGACATCGTAGATTAGAGCAACAAGAAATAAATTCAAGCCCAAAGAAGATTGAATCTCCTAGGTTAAAGCCACACCCTACTTAAAAATATACGTTTACAATAAATAATAATAATAAATATACAACATATATACAAATTGAACCAGTAGAAAACTTCAGATAAAGTTTAATATAAACATAAAGATACTGTATGAACAGAAAGTTCTGTGTGTGTGTGTGTGTGTGTGTGTGTGTGTGGGTGTGTGTGTGTGTGTGTGTAGACTGCTCTGTATGTATACTGTAATAATAATTTGTAATATTTTTACTAAAAGTTCTATTAAAGAATGAGATGTTAGATCTATTTAAAAATGTCCTCAGTTCATCCTAATATTTCCACACTACATACAGTAATTGTTATGAATTGATATATTTCTGAACAGATATTCATCAAGATATTTATATTTTTCTGTCAACATTTGTAAGAGAATGTAAAGATATACAATAATATACATAAAATATCAAAAAGGTTTCTACAATTAAAATAGCCGGTGTATTTTATTTTATAATTTAAAAAAATATATAAATAGCATCCAGTATACGCGCCTAAAGAAAAACAGCAACACTTACAATTAGTAGCAACGCTTTCATTATCTTATTTTAAAAAATAATTTTATTAAAATATTATTTCCTTTCCTTAATTACATTGATTTTATTACTGTCACCAGAAGATATCTTTTAAATAAAATAATTTAATGTATTTTTTGATAAAAAATATCATAAGAGCAAATTTAAATAAATATTTAAAAAAATTAAATGCCGACATTTCGCAAAAAATTATATTAGAGGTAGTTCGGGTATTTTGAACCATATCCTAAGCCTTTTTCAATGTAACTTGAAAACTATTAAAGATAACTGAACTTTGTTTACACTGAGTTGTAATGCCAAATGTTTGTTGCAACGTGTTTCTAACCAATTTCGTTTATTTATAGCGAGTTTAATGTTGTAGCAAAATTTTCGAAGGTAAATTTTTGTCGGGAAATTTGAACTATTACTACGTTTACGCGAGCGTTACTTCTGTAGTAACTTACGATAATTCCTTTGCGTAAAGCGGGATTTTCCTTCGCGTAAACGGGATTTTGTAGTAACTTACGATAATTTACTCCGCGTAAACGAGTGATATATCGTAAGTTACTACAGAAGTAACGCTCGCGTAAACGTAGTATATGTCGGGCAAGGTAAATATCACTTCATTAATCTTGCAAAAAATATCTTTTATCATGTTTCAAGGCGTTAATAATAAGTGTTTAAGGTGTTAATAATAAGGTTAAGATGTTTTTTTTTTTAGGTTATTAACTCCGGTTGGAGTTATAGATGCTTCAGGCTCAGTCACAATGAGAGGAATAAGGAATAAGATAAAGGAATTAGGAATAAGGCATGTTGCATCTCACTTTAATGTACGTGTACTGAAGTGAGATGCGACATTCCCTTATTCCTTATTCCTTTATCTTTCCTTATTTTTGTCATTGTGTCTGAGCCCTTCTTCTTCTTCTTCTTAAATTTTTATTGGCTTGTGCCTTGCCTCTTCTTCTTCTTCTTCTTCTTCTTCTTGAGACCTTCTTCTTCTTCTTCTTCTTCTATTTCGTTGGCTCCTGCCTCTTTTCAGAGGCCAGAGGACAATTTGCCACTGTTTGTTATACAAAGTCTGGAACACTGTTAGCGTAACGAAGTCTGAATGGAAATACCAAAAATCTGAGTGAAAACTACTGCACAGTAACAGTCCCCAGTCAGAAATGATTAGTTGATTCGACGTTGAATCAATGTCGAAA